ACACACACACGCGCACGCACACACACACACACACACACACACACACACACACACACACACACACACACACACACACACACATTCGTCTGTCCACATTGCAAATATTCTACAAGCACGACGGAGGAAGGGAAAAGCTTTGCACGCACACGTGTGTGTGCACAACCCCTCATACACACAGCACACTCTCTTTCACTGCCTTGTTTGGGTGGTTGGTTCCATGTGCCTTGCGTGACCACACGTGTGTTCGTGTTGATTGCTGCTCGTGGTGCGGCCGCACGAACGAGCCAATCGCCATGTTTGGCAATCCACCCTCTGCTGCGCCAACGAGCACTGCACTGACGAGCAGCAACACTGACAACGATGAGAGTAGCAGCAGCGGGAACAGCAACACGAATGCCAGTGACGCGTCCAGCACATTAGGCCCTTCACTACTGCAACAACATCAATCTCAGGAACAGCTTCCACCACTGCCACAACAACAGCAGCAGCAGCGCCTACAAGATGCGCGATGGTCAACACCGCCACTGTCATCTTCTTCGGCTTCTTTGGCAACCACAGCGAGTCAGATGTCGAGACATCAACGTTCTGCCAGTGACACGTACGCTGACACCGTACAAGCACTGCATGCCATAACGGAGGCGCGTGGAAATCAAACACCACAGCAGCGCCCCGGCCTCCGCAAGTCGTTTAGCCCGCAGCCAGGCGCATCTGCTGCCACCCTGCTCAGTGACGCCACAGACATCTCAGCGTCGCTGATCCCTTGGACCACCAGCACCCTCACCCCGTCCACATCAAGCGCTGCAACAACGTCTCCATCTCCTATGGCATCACTGTCGTCGCCCGCGACATCCCAATCGCTGGACATGCACAGCACGTCATCCACCACCTACCACATTGCACCCTCTCCCGTCAGCAGCAGCACCCATGCGCTGGAAATGCCATCAAATTTGCTCAGCAGCGATGCTGCACCGTCGTCCTCGTCAGTGCCTGTCGCTCCCTCGAGCAGCGGCATGACCGGGTCTGCTCCAACCACTTTGTCGTCAGCAACACCACCAACAACACCAACACCAACACCAACAACAACACCAACAACAACAACACCCGCCACCCTCGCGCCGATTGCAGCTGTCTCAGAACAAACAGTCGCCACCGTAGCTACCCCTGAACCCAAACAGCAACAGCCTGGTGTGGAATCGACGGCTAGCCTACGTCAACTTCCACCGGCTCAACAGCAGCCGCCAAAGCCAGCAGAAGCGTGGGCAGGCCACCGTAATCAACCCCACCAACCCCACCAACCCCACCAGCAACAGCAGCAGCACCCAGGCCATATGCAGCTTGTGCCAGGTGCCTTTCTGCCCATGCCGCTGCCACCGCCATATATGCACGCACCCGTGGCAGTTGAGACGATGAGCTCGTGTCCAGCACCTGTGTTGCAGCATCCTGGCTCAACCATTCCGGGCCCACCACCACACACACACCAGGCAATGCCCTCGCTGGTTGCAGTCGAGCAGCACATGAACCCGCGCGTGCTGCAGGCACATGCGCTTGCCTTCCACCCAACGGCACCACAAGGGCTGCTGGGCCCAGGCCTGCCGATGCCTGTGCGCATGCCCACTGCAGCTTCAGCTGGAATGCGGCCACCACACGCACACGCAGGTAGCGGTACTGTGCGAGCACCACACGTGCATCGACCTCGCGGGGCTCCGGGAGCAAACGCACGCCACTTTCGTCCAAACGGAAACAGCCGCCATCAACACCACCCGCACCACAGCCTCAACCAGCCTCGTCACCAGCACCGCAGCAACAAGGCAAGCTCAGCCCCGCGCGGAGGCACGCACAACCACAACCACAATCGCCGCCACCACAACCAGAGTGGCAGTCGCCACTCGCAACACCAGCACCACCATCCTTATACCCACTACGTTCACACCCACAGGACTCACCACAGGTGAGCGTTTGTAATGCGTTGTACATGTGCGTGTGTGCATGCGTGTGTACGTGTGTGTGTATGCGTGTGTGTGAATGCGCGCGCGCGCGCGCGTGTGTGTGTGTGTGTGTGTGCGTGATGTCAGCGTGGAGCAAAGGGTGCAAGATGCTTGTAGTTTCCAGCAATTTTGGTATTCACGTCCCATCACACAATGCACGCACAATCACACACACACATAATCACACACACACACACACTCTCTCTCTCTCTCAGGTCGCGGCCTCGCAAATCAAAACCGCAGACGCGGAAGATGACGAAACTTCAGCAGCGGCTGGAGCAATCCACGCTCAACGCCAATGCAGAGCCGTTTGTGCCATCGTGTCTCCAGCCCCAGCCGGCACCATCACCATCACCGCCACACAAAGAGAACCACAACGACGATGCCGGGGAGGCGGTTGTCGATGGTGTGCGCTCGCTCACCGTGGATGGTACTGGCTCAACCACAGCAGCAGCAGCAGCAGTAGTAGCGACCACAACAGCGACTACGACAGCAGCAACAACATCAGGAGCAACGACGACGACAACAGCAACAACAACAACAACAACAAGGGTTGGTGTGACGGAAGCTCGGACCACTCGTCGGAAGGACAGCCGTTCCAGCCGCCCTACCGCGACGCCAACCACCTCGACAGCATCGCAGTCGACAGCACCACCAACCTCGACCGTGACGCCCTCGTCATCGGTATCATCAGCATCCTCACAGGGTGTGCCATCAGCACCACAGTCATATGCACTCCGCAGCAGCAAAGACACGGACGAGGTGACGGACGGGCACGATCTCTTGCAGAACTACCTCTACCACAAGTACCTCAAGTTTCTTGACAGAGCGCTGGCGCAGCGACAGGCGCTTGGGTACGGTCGGTCGCCACTCGTCAGCAGCCTGTACCAGTTCTGGGTGGCGCGCTTGCAGCACAAGTTCAACCGCAACATGTATCAGATGTTCAAGGACCTTGCGCTGGAAGACAACACCGCTGGCGAGCGCGAAGGAATTGAGTGTTTGTACAGGTTTCTCCGTGGCAGCCTGTCCACGACCTATCGTGAACGCGTCTTTCGCGACTTCATCTACCTTGTTGGCAACGAGCCACACGAGGACAGCTACGGGCTTGAGCAGCTGTGGTTGTTTCTGCGGGAGCGATCAGATGAGATCAAGCGCCGGTCGCAGCACACCGTTGAGCGTCGAATCATGAGCAGACCAGATCTAGCCGCATCCCTCAAGGAGCTCGACAGGTTCCACGCCCTCTCCCTCGAGTAGTCGCGTGGTGGTGGTGATGCTGTGTGTCTTTGTGTCTGTGTCTGTGTGTCTGTGTCTGTGTCTGTGTCTGTGTCTGTGTGTGTGTGTGTGTCTGTGTGTGTGTGTGTGTGTGTGTGTCCGCGTCTGCGTCTTGCGTCTGTGTGTGTGTGTGTGTGTGTGTGTGTGTGTGTGTGTGTGTGTGTGTGTGTGTGTGTGTGTGTACACATTGTTCCTGGTCTCTTGCTTGTGAACGGTCGCATCCTTGCTCGTTCCCGCATTTTGATACTTTTCAACTCTGTGCCCCTATCCATGTGTGTGTGTGTTTTGTGTTGTAATGGCGATGTTCGCCAGCACGCGTCGGCACCCGCCCTCCTCTCTCTCACCCATCCATCCACCCATCCATCCATCCACTCATTGGTTGCCTCACGATGAATGGTTTGGTGTGCTGGTGATGGGGAAAGGAGAGGTTTTGAGCGAGTACCCCTTCGCAACGTGTCACCTTGTCCTTGTTGATTGTGTCCGTGTCTTTGGTCTACGTGGGTTGGGCGGCGGCTGTAGTCTCGTTTCGTGTGCAAGTATTTCCCAATGCTTGTACGTGATGGATGGACAAGAACATGCTGTATTCATTCGCGCACACACGCACGCGCGTGTGAGTGTCGCTTGTGCTCGCATGTACACACCAACTACCAATACACAATGGCCCAAACGCATCAACAAAATTGAATGCAACAAGAGTTGGATGCAACACCAAGAAGAACACGAGGGGCAACCACAAACACACACACACGCGCGCGCACTCACACACACACACACACTCACTCACTCACTCAGTGCTCGTGTAACAATGCAATGTCATGTCAGGTCATCCAACCAACCCACCTACAACACGAAACCAGAAGGCAACATCTGTCATCTACGACAGAGAACACTTTTTCTCGTCCTCACCCCCAGCATTAAGCTTGGCAGCTTTGGCGCTGGGCTGACCGCTGCTGTGGCTGTTGTTGGACAGGTAGTGTGTGAGCGGGCGTTGGCTGTCTTTCGCTCCTTGCTTCCGCTTTTGCTGTTTCCGCTTGCCGGCCTGGCTCGGGGATGTTTTTGAAGGCGAGCGCTTGGCAGACCGTGTATTTGCTTGGAGGCTGTTCCCCACATGCTGCTGCTGCTGCTGCTGCTGCTGCTGCTGCTGCTGCTGCTGCTGCTGCTGCTGTCGATGTGGTGCGACTGGTTCCTTGGCGGGTTGTTCGCCATCCGCTGTTTTGTCCGCGATGTGTGGCCGTACCGTCATCTGTTCGCCTCCTCCGCCCATCTCGGCACACGCTTCCCGCCCCTCCTCCCCATGCGACCCCTTTTGTTCCGCGGCTGCTTCCGAGTTGTTCTCTGTCGGCTTACCCTCTGGCATGTCTTTGCTTCCATCGCTCCCATCCCCGCAGCGACTGGCGTGATCATGGCGCTCGCCTCCTTGTCCACCACCACCACCACCATCACCATCATCATCATCATCATCATCATCATCATCATCATCATCATCATCATCATCATCATCATCACCATCACCACCATCACCACCATCACCACCACTATCATCATCATCGTCGTCATCGCTGCCTCCACCTCGCTGCACAAACTCGTCCACCCTGATCTGGGTGAGATTTGATCTGACACGCGTCATCGTCTCAATCTTGCGCCCGAGCCACAGCGCGGCCCACTTGAACTTGGCCCTGTCCAGGTACCGCCCTTGATGCTCATTCACGCGCCCGGCGGCATTGAGGCGGCGGCGTATGCTGTGCAGGTGCTGGCGCTGTTGTGCTACGGCCTTCATGTTTGAGATGCACACGTCCACACACGCCATGACGGTGATGAGAAGGTTGAAGTTTGACTTGTCGCTAATGACCACACGCTGTACGTCTGCACTGGCCTGCTGTAACTGTGGACGGAAAACAAACACAAGGGGGATGGAGCGGTGTGGACAGGTGAGCTGGCGCTGCTGCTGCTGCTGCTGCTTTCGTGTTTGGAGGTTGGGCTTGCATATGCATCGAGACAGATGCGCGCTCGGGGAGAAAGCGAAGGGGCAAGAGGAGGGGTGCAGAAAGCCAGACACAGAGGGCGACGGCTCAACACGCTCACAGACTTGACGCATACACTAATACACGTGCGCACACGCATACACACTAAAATACACACATACACACACACGCATACACATACACATACACGCACATACACGCACACATAAGCACACACAAATCACGCACATACACGCACGCACATACAACCAGCGCCTTCTTGTGCGTGTTGCAACGCACAATTGCCTCAAAGTCGGGGATGGGCGCTGCATGCAACAGTTCCGCTGGTGCAGTTTTGCTCACGCAGTTGACAACATGTGTGGTTGTATTGCTCGCCAGCGTAAGTTTCAAGCTCCTGCAAAACACACACGCACATGTGGGGTTGGTACCGCAACAAGTACATGAGCAATTGCACCTGCAAGGGCCACAAAGAGCGAACAAACAACAGAAGAACATTCTATACACAAGGTCACACAACACGCAGCATACACTACGCATGCTACACACACGACACACACACACACGAACACACACACGAACACACACACGCACACATTACAAGCACACACGAAGCACGGACAACGAGCCAACCTGCAGACGGGTGTTGGAGGAAGAAGAGTGAGGAAGAAGCGGATGTTGTGGTGGTTCCACGTTGTGGCGATACGGCGAGCGAGGTCACCAACCTGCAGACATTGGATCAAGGTCATGGTGACAATGGTGATGGATGAGGATGAGGGGCGAGGATGAGGGGCGAGGATGAGGGGCGAGGATGAGGGGCGAGGATGGAGCGACGGGAGAGGCGCAGCGGTGCTGCCAGTTCATACACACACACAACGCATTCACAGGGAGAGAGAGAGCACATGCACACACACGCACACACACAACGCATTCACAGGGAGAGAGAGAGCACATGCACACACACGCACACACACAATGCACATTCACAGAGAGAGAGCAAATATACACACACACACATACACATACACATACACATACACATAAATATACACACACGCATACACACAGATCACAACGCTCACACTCACAATGCGTTCGGCAAAAGGTTTGGGCAGGGCTTCGAGGAATGATGAAATGCATGTTGAGAGAGGTGGAAGGAGTGCCAGGACACGCTTGTCCAGTGTCATCAAGCACAGCACATACGCAAGCCGCTGTGATGATGCCAGAAATAACACACACGCGGCTCGTGAGACCGGAGAGGGTATGCAGTTACAAGCAAGCATGCGCGCATGCACGCACACAAATGCGCAAGGGAGGTGGGCAATTGCAATTGTTGAGCACACGTGTACATGCATAGTTATAGTTATTCACGCACACACACACACACATACGCACGCACGCACACACACGCGCGCACACGCGCACACGCACATGCACACAAGCGCAACCACCTTTGCTTGCGTATATTGCGTGGCGAACGCGGAATGCAGACCAGCAGTGAAGGATGAGGACAACACAGAGAGCACCTGCACGTGTGACAGAAACATGCCATCACCATCAAGTGGAGGTGAGCGACACAACGTGAACCATGAGGACGCATGCATTGGGTGAGAGTTGAAGGAGAACAGCTGTGGCAACAACGTGCGCTTGTGAGTGTGCTGTTTTGCCAAAACACATTGGCAATGACACGTTGGGTGTGAGTGCTGCATGTCACGTGTTGGACGGTGGTTCAGACACGGTTGCGTGCGATCACGATCACACACACGCACACACACACACACATACACACACACACACACGCACAAACACACACACATACACAAACACACACACATACACACACGAGTTCGCAGCACAATCAAAGCTGCACTTACGTTGTGCATGCGCTGGAATGGAAGCGAACGCGTGCGTGTTGGAGGTGGTGCGAGCGCAAGACATGAGGGCTGTTCTCTTGCGCCCTTCCCTTTCGCTGACGGCGACAACGTCGATGATGACGAGGACGGTGCGGATGGTGGTGGTGATGGCGGTGACAGGGACGACAGCGTTGTTCGCTGTGAGCGCTGCGACGGTGACGGTGTGACAACGGCAGATACATCATCGACATCAACGCCGACGCTCGCCAGCGCCTGCGCAATGTCGAGCGGACCCGGCCGCCAGATGCACCCGAGCGACGACTGGCGGTGGTGGCGGTGGTGGTGGTGGTATCTTGGATGTGAGGGCAACAGTGCATACATTCGATGATTCGCGCAACTCCCATTGATCATACACATACACATACACGCGTGCACACATACACATGCACATACACATACACATACACATACACATGCACATACACATACACATACACATACATACACATACACATACACATACACATACACATACACATACACATACACATACACATACACATACACATACACGCACACACAGATGCCTCCGCCCAACACACACACACACACCTCCTCAGAGTGCTGGTGCATGAGGGTAGTGAGAGTGCGTGCAATGCCTGTGGAAACGCTGTCACATGCACGAGGCAACACAGCAAAGAGCCACGCCGCCAAATCCTTGGGCATGACATGATGCAAGTAGTGCGCAGTCATGACGTGCTCTGTCACCAGCGACGTCACCAATGGTGACAGGCTGTATCGGATGTCTGGCCACGCCCCCTCGGCCATCGCTGTACTTGTTCTCCTCCTGTCGCCACCATTCTTCTGCTCACTCGTCTGTCCACTCAAATCGCCGTCGCCTTGCAGGCCCTCGTCCATGTTCCCGCTGACACGGCCACCACCACTACCATCATCATCATCGTCATCATCGTCATCCTGGGATGTTGCGCCCGGGTATGTGCTGTCGTACGTGTGCGCGTGGTGGCTGCCATAATGTGGCGCAGTCGTGTCATCGCTGATTGTCGCCTGCCACTCCACCTTCACCGTCTCTCCTCGAACTGCCTCGCAGATCCTGCACAGCCGAGAGCATGTGTGTGTGTGTGTGTGTGTGTGTGTGTGTGTGTGTGTGTGTGTGTGTGTGTGTGTGTGTGTGTGTGTGTGTGTGTGACTCTGTTGTTTCGAGGGCGGCAATCGCAAATTTTCCTCTGAGAAAGGTTTTCAGTTCACGTGTACACGCATGCTCACACACGCATGCACACACACACGCATGCACACACACGCACGCACACACACACTCTCTCTCTCTCTCATACACAGCCATACACACCAGTCGTGGTTGTCTGGCGTTGGCGGGGTTGCGTGGTGGCTGCGCGTGTGTGGCGGTTGCGCGGTGAAGAACACGGGGAAGCCGGGATGGTCGTTGGGAGTGTCGATGCAATCCAGCTAGTCGGCGGTGTGAAGGGGTGTGAAGTGGTGTGAAGTGGTGGGGTAAAGGGGGAAAGAGCAGCCAGCGTGTCGCAAGAACCAATCAACCCCAAAATGGTCGAAAATACACAACAACACATCACATGCATCACACTCACACATGCATCACACACACACATGCATCACACACACACGCACACACACACACGTGACATCGCAGCGCACATGCGCGCGTACCGCTTTGAGGAGGTCAGTGCTGATGAGCTCGCTGGCTTCGCTGTCAGCGTACGTGTTCGTTCCCGTTGCTGCTTCTCGTGATTGTTTGTCTGCATCTTGCTTGAGCAGCTCCTGTTGTGCACACACAAGCGGGAGGGGATGTTACAGTGGACGATGAAGGCATCAACGGGGGGAGCAAACAGAGAAAGAGGGCACAAAGACGGCAGTGCAGGAAGCAATAAAACACCACCCACTTTCCCCTCGGTCGCATTGCCTCACGTGTCGATCAGGCATCGCTCACAAACACACACACACACACGCATGCACCTCGAAGCGCTTGTCGAACTGTTCGCGCTCAGCCCTAAGCTGTTCTGAGTACGTGTGATTCTTGAGCAGTGACAGCAGCGAAGATGAACTGCTGTTGCGACTCGGGCGCGACGATGACCGCCGTGCTGCCTCGATTTGCCGCCGCAGTTTCGCCATTTGCTGCCGGTGGACCGCCCGACGCCGCGCCGACGGCCGCTTCCTGCACGTGTGTGTGTGTGTGTGTGTGTGTGTGTGTGTGTGTGTGTGTGTGTGTGTGTGTGTGTGTGTGTGTGTTGGGTATTTGAGAGTACAGACAGGACAGGAGCAATGACCTGATTCCCAGCAGAGGGTGGTTGCTCTCTGCTGGAGCATACACCCATACAGCCAAACGCACAATCACACACACGGTTCGTTACCTCGGTGATGAGTGGGTGCTGCTGATGTCGGAGTCTGACGTGTCTTGTGTCGGCTGCTGCTGCTGGTCATCGTCGTTCGTACCCTGTTCCTCTTCGTCCTCATTCGCCGCATCTTCAACATCCTCCTTGCCACTTGCCCCCTGCTGGGCCGTTTCAGTGCTGATGACCAAAAGGTGGATAAAATGGAGTCAGTCGGCTGTACCAAGTAAGTCAAACACCGAGGCACACACAAAGCACACACGCACACACACGTACACGCATACACACACGCGCGCACACACACACACGCACGCACATGCACAACCACATGCACGTACAACCACACGCACGCACACGCACAACCACACGCACGTACACCCACACGCACACCCACAACCACACGCACATGCACAACCACACGCACACGTTTAGGCCGACCACTGATTGTACCTTGGAAGGAGCCCCGTGGGCAGAAGGTCATCGTCATCACCATCATCATCACTGTTTTCCTTGTCAGCGCGGCCGTCATCGTCGTCGTCTCTCAACAAGGCAGCAATGTCATCGTCAACCTCGTCTTCGTCGCTGCTGCTGTCGTCATGAGCAGCCTTGTGCTTGTTCAGCGACACTGTGAGGTCACGTTCATCGTCGCTACTGCTGCCGCTGCTCATAGCGTGTGCGTGTGGTGTTGTGTTGTGCGGTTTGCTGTTTGGCGCGGACACGGTAATACTGAAGTCAGTCGTTCCATGTTATGAAGATTTGTTGGCCTGACCGTTAATATTCTTTCGTGACGGCAGCCAACCAACAACCACAACAACAACACCAACAACAACACAACAGCGACCACAACAGCACCAACACCAACATCAACACACAACAGCCATGGGCAACACGTGTGGCGGTGGTGGGAAACAAGGCAAGGGGGTGAAGAGCATTGAGTCGTTTCCTGTGGTGTATGTTGGAACGATGTCGTTGCCTGCAACCGCTTATGCGGGTGTGGACGCCTGCTACCATGTTGTGACGACGTTGAACCAAGAACGAAGCAGGCAGACACAAGGCAACGGCGATGAGAACGGGCACGGTGGCGACGATGATGATGATGATGATGAAATGGGGCCCGAAGCAGGTCACAACCAAGCCACAAGCACGGACCCAGAGGAAGAGGACTTTTCTGCTCACTTGGATGAAGGATTGAAGGATGTAAAGGCCGTCCTTACCGTCTCCATCTACGGCATCAAGGCGCTGGTAGGGTAGGGTGTGCCTGTGTGTGTGTGTGTGTGTGTGTGTGTGTGTGTGTGTGTGTGTGTGTGTGTGTGTGTGTGTGTGTGTGTGTGTGTGTGTGTGTGCGGGTGTCTGTGTGTCTGTATATGTGTGTGTGTGTGCGGGTGTCTGTGTGTCTGTATATGTGATAGCGAGGTGGAGCGCCGTCTCGTTCTTGTTGTTGACGGCGAGCAAATCCGCGTCCTTCATCGTCAGCAGCCGAAGCGCCTCAACCTCATTCATCCGCGCCTGGTGTGGTGGTGGTGGTTGTGGTGATGGGGACATTGGCAGGAATCAAGATTGCGCCGCTTGGTGAGTTGCTCGTTTGGATCCGAGATATGCCATGGGCGCAGAAGAGCTGTCCAAGCACACGCACACGCACACACACACGCAAACACACGTGCATACAACTGCAATCACAACCACAGCAGCGCGCGCGAGCGCACGATGTGTGCGCACAACTGACCGCCCAGTGGAGAGCTGTGTGACCTCTGTTGTCTTTGCTCTCGATGTTGATGGAGCGATTGGCGAGTAGAACGCTCACCGTCGCCGCCCGGCCCTGAACAGCAACAAAGGCAGCGGCAGTGGTGGTGGTGGTGGTGGTGGTGGTGGTGGTGGTGGTGGTGATGGTGGTGGTGTTTGGCGAACACATGGTGTGAGCGACAGTTGGCAAAAATACGGGAACACATGCTTGGGGTGTGCGAGCCGCCATCTCGATCAAGACACTGCACGTGTAACACGGCGAGCATGTGCAGCCAACACGGCATTGCAATGAATTGCAGGCAGGGACGCACCAGCGAGCAGGCGACCATGAGCGGGCAGAGGCCTTCGTTGTCGGCGGCATTGACGTGGGCGCCGTTGGCAAGGAGCGTGATGGCGGCAGCAGCATCATCGTGCCGCGACGCAAAGTGCAGCGGTGTGCAGCCCTGGCGTGACGTTGTGGCCGTGAACAAGGACACGCAGGCAAATTGGTGAGGGGGGAGGGGGAACGGTGCTGACACAATGCCCAGAATTTGTGTGTTGCAGAGCGCAATGATGACAGGCTGAGAGAACGGCAGCACATGTACACGTGTACAGTAACGGGAAACCATGCACGCATGTACACAAGTCACAAAAGCGCAGGTGATTCGCGCGTGACGCACCTCGTTGTCAGCCAGGTTTGGTGATGCACCGGCCTTCAACAGCAACTCAATGACTGTTGTGTGTGTGTGTGAGAGAGAGAGAGAGCGTGTGTGTGTGCAAAGTGGTGAGGTCGAAATGAAAAGCATAGCAGCACATAGCAATAGTTCTGCGAAACGTCACAGCCACTCTCTTCAAACACACAACACACAACACACAACACAACACACACACACACACATCGCCACGCACTTGTGATGCTGGTGTCGTGGAGACACGCGAGGGCGAGCGGGGTATGGCCGGCCTTGTTCTGGACGTTGCAGTCGGCGCCGCCAGAGTCAATCAGCCACTGCACGCTGCGGGACTGGTTGCTCACCACTGCCCACGACAGCGCTGTGTTGCCCGTGTCATCTGTCGAATTCAGTATCCTGCACACGCGAGGAGCACGATTAAGATGTGGTTGGTTGTTGTGTTTGTGAATGGGCGTGTGAATGGGTGTGTGTGTGTGAATATGTGTGTGAATATGTGTGTGTGAATGTGTGTGTGAATGTGTGTGTTTGTGAATGTGTGTGTGTTTGTGAATGTGTGTGTGTGTGTTGGATGAGAGCATGTGTCCTTCCTTCGTGCGCGTGTGTTCGCGAACATTGGGTGGCTCCGGACTCACCTCAAGTCGAGTTTCGGATGAGGCTGCTGTTGCTGCTGTTGCTGTTGACTTTGCTCTTGCTCGTGTTGTTGTTGCTGCTGCTGTTGCTGCTGCTGTGGTTGTTGCTGAGGCTGTTGTGCATCTGGTGTGGATGCGCTTGATGGGCCAGAGGCGTGCACGTCGTCGTCCTCAAACGGGAGCTCGCTCATATGCATCCACTCTCCAATCGCCGTGTAGTCCTCGCCAGCGAGAACGCCGTCAACACCACTGTCGCCGTGCGCAAGCGGGGCAGGCGATGGTGCAGTCTCACCCAACAGCTGCTGCTGCAATGACTGCTGTCCTTGCTGTTGTTCACGTTGCTGTTGTTCATGATCGTGCTGCTGGTGCTGCTGCTGCGTGGATGCGAAGAACGGCGAGGAGGCGTCGTGAGCAGGTGGGGACGGCGTGGCCTGCGCTGACGACGACGACCCGGGCGACAGCGACGAACCAGACCCCGACGACAGCTGGTGCTGCACCAACTCCGCACGGAACTTGTCAAGCGCGTCAACATCCCCCTGCCATGGTGTTGGTTGCGGGGTGTGTGTGTAAGGGGGGAGTGGGGAGGGGGAATGAGTGAGTGTGAGTGAGTGAGTAAGTGACAGAGTGTGTACATGTGTACGTGTGTGTGTACGTGTGTGTACACGTGTGTGTGTGTGTGTGTGTGTGTGCGTGTGTATGTGTGTGCGTGTGTGCGTGTGTGTTTGTGTGTACGTGTGTGCATGCAACCAAGTTGCGCAATGTGCAAACGCGCGGTACGTGTACGAGGCCAGGCTGCTTCGTTGCAGCTGCGGAAACAATCATGACATTCACAATGGCCACATTCAATCTTACGAGGATGGCTGCTCGGTGAATAAACTTCTGGATGGTCATTTCTCCTTCGTCGTCGGCGCTGCCGTGCGCGGGCATGGGCTCGTCGTCATACACTGGGTTGTGGATGAGACTCTCCTCTGCGTGGCGCTGTGGCTGCGAGCACGTACGCAGTAACACGCACAGAGTTAGACTGCATGGCTAAGGTGCAACAAAGCAGGGAGGTGCGACAGACCAGCAACACGCGCAGGTACGCACCAATCACATAACCACAACCACAACCACAACCACAACCACATCCACAACCACGTCTCAAACACTCACGAATGCAGGCTCGTCAAATGGGTCGAGGTCCTCGCGAAGAACGAGAGACGGGTCCAGCTTGGCGCGTTTGGCGAGCAGCGTAAACACAATCACGGCAACAAGAACCACGATGAAGATGGCTGATGTGGCCGCAACGGCCGCAATCTGCTGGCTGTTCAACGGCGGGCCGTTTGGATGTGGTGCTGCTGTCGTTGTCGTTGTTGTCGTCGTGTTCACTAGCACAGAGCAAGCAGGTGTGGCGTTGTGTATGGGGAGGTGAGATTCGAAGCAAGGTCAACAAAGCTATGATGCTTGAGGGCAGCTCATGGGGACCGGGGTGTACAAGGAGACATGCCGATGCACTTCAACGCGCATATGTCTCGGTGCATCAAGACACAGGATAGATCAGTCACAGGACAGAAGATAGATCACAGGATACAAGATAGATACGCAAGCGCACTGACACCACAGGGAGCACGCGGGGTTTTCTCACTTGTGGTGGTGGTGTTGATGGCAGGGAGAGCAGAGGCTGATGGAGTCGTCGGCGTTGCAGATGCAGTTGTACTCGTAGTTGCGGTGGAGGGGGTGGTTGTCATGTTGGTTGTGCTCATCATGGGTGTTGTATGCATGTGGCATGTGCTGTTGGCAACAGGGAGGGTGGCGACGTTGACGTTGTTCCAGAAGAGAGAGAGCCAATCAAGGAACGGTGGCACGGCACTAAACGTTGTGACGCCCGACTAATGTGCGCAAACCAATGCAGAACACGCAGACGTAAGAACACACAGAAACAAGAACATGTGACAAGGAGCAGCAGACGATCAACCAAAAGTGGGCACAAGATAGTTTTGTGGGCGTGGGGTGGCAGCAGGACACAATCTCACACCGAACATGTGAACACGGTCCAACACACACACACACACGCGCGTGCACAAAGCACGCACACACGCGCGCGCGCACACATGCGCATACATGCACGCACACCTGCACGCACCCGCACGCACGCACCACGTTGAAGAGTCTGATGCGGCCTGTGGCATCTGCCCAATCCCGCGAGACGTCCACCTCACGCACGGTGAGGCACCGCCCATAGATGGACACGCCCACAAACCCTCGGGTTTGCACGTCCACTTGATCCAGTGCGTGCACGCTGCGTGGTGAAATGATGCAGGCGAGGAAGACGCAGAAAGCGGTTGGGTGGGGCCCGAGGGAAGGGGATGCGTGGGTTACAGGGTCAGCACAAGGACTCATGCAAGGAAACACAGGGGCACAGGACAGATGGAACTTGGCAGAGCCGCACGCACACGCACGCACACAAATACGTGTGCAAACACAAATACGGGTGCAAGCACAAACACAAACTCATGCGCACAAATACGTGTGCAAACACAAACACAAACTCATGCGCACAAATACGGGTGCAAACACACATACACACATACACAAACACAAACACACATACACAAACACACACACGCACACACACACACAAACATGCGCACAGACCTGTGTGTGGATGGGTGACCAAGAACGACAGAGACGTTGCTGCCTTTGGTCGTTTCAATCTTGAACTCATCAATGGTGTGGATGGAAGGCATGGAGAGTTTGTCAAGCACGCCATCCACAGACACATAGATGTCATCAACACGCTGCAGGTCTGGGAAGCTAAGCAAAGGCACAACTGCCCCGGCCTCGACTTCAATCTCCAAGTCTGACCACCCGCCCGTGCCATTCAAAACGACTGAGCACGAAGCTATGATGGTGACGCGCAGGTCCTTGCTCGTGTCGAAGAAGCCTGCTGGGATGACGCGGTTCTCTGCCTGTGGGCAAGATGAGATGACGATGAAGCGGGTTTTCCTTGTCTCCGACCATGGGACGTTTCCGCTTCCACCTTGGTGGTCATCGTCATCTGCGCGCACAAGCGGCGTTGTTCTGGTGGGAAAAGTTGCGAGGAGCAACAACACCCACATCCACAGCGCAACAACGGCTGTTGTCGCCCGTCGTGTTGTAGCTGTTGTTGTAGCTGTTGTAGTAGCTGTTGTAGTAGCTGTTGTTGACTTGGCCATGGTGATGCTCTTCACCGTCTCTGGCCAGCAAGCCCTAGATTGCCAGCAGCAGAGGGTGGGCGATAAGCAGACGCAGGCTCTTGTGTGGTTGGTTGGCTCGCTCGCGTCGTCATTCAACTCATCCACGCCAAAGAGCACAACAAAGCCAAACAAGGACTGCTGCGCTGCTTTTTGTTCGTGTGCGGGCTTTGTGCCTTTTGGTGTTTGGTTTTGGTTGGCTGTGCGAAAGGGTTCACGTGCGAAAATGCGTGGAAATGTTTAATGAACATTCGACTAGCGGCTAGGACGCAATCACGACGCGAAGGCGTGCGCGCATCGCGTACGGTGGCGTTGTGCGGGTGCAGCGTTGGGTCAGGGTTGCCGAGTTGGCATAGGAGCCGCACAAGGTAAACCGTGGTGCTCGTGCCCGTAACGCAATGAACAAGGCAACAAGGAAGTTGGTTGGTGGAGCAAACGAAACAAGCAACAAGCACAGAGCAAGCAAAGCAAGCAAGGAAAGCAAAGCACTAGCAGGCCTGTTCGATGCCTTGCCGAGTCTGCAAGATTGTGTGCGTGAGTGTGTGCGTGTGTGTGCGAGTGTGAGTGTGTGTGCGTGTGAGTGTGTGTGTGTGTGCGACAAATGGAGACAAGGGAACAGTGGGTGACGCACTCAAGAGAAAGAAACGTGTGGATGATGAACAAGAGAAGTCAGAATGTAAACTGGCGCGTGTGCGTGAATCTGCGACACGATTAAAGATGTGGAAAGGGGACAGAGAAAGCGAGATGCAATGTGTCATGCCTCCTTCGAAGGAAAGGCACACGCATTCACTTCACCCCCTCAGCCACACGCCGCTCCCGCCAAACTGGGCAGGAAGCAACGGTTGCCGTGACGCAAACCCACACGAAGCTGCGCAAGCAAAATTGGCAAAGCGCAGCTTCTCGATGTTGCCAAGCACACTGCCCCACAGTTCGTGGTGATACCGAAAAGCAAGGAAGCAGGCCTGGCGTGGATTGAGCAGAAGAGTGGAGGAGAACACAAAGAAACACGAAACACACAAGCGACGAAACGAGGTGGTGGCGACGGTGGTGGAGGGGATTGAAAACGACAGAGCGAAGGTAGAGTGGCAACGAGGGGCAACGAGGGGAAAGTGGGGAAGGGGGAGAAAAGGACGAATAGGATGGGGGGCACCGCGTAGGCGTGGAAAGAGACGCAGAGGAAAACAAGAAAGAGAACATGCAGAATGCAGCAGGGGGAGGGGGTGAAGCAGAACGAGGGAGAAGACAAGATTATCATTTCTGATGCACACTGACCTTGTTCCTTTTGATCTTGACTCGCCAATGGTCGTGGTTGTGCTCGCTGGTTGCACACGTAGTTCGTCACATTGTCGCGAACAGAAGCTCAGTACGTCAAGGCTTGGTGGGAGCCGGCACAGGGGGTGAAGGGTGGCATGGGTGGCGGTTGCTTAGGTCAACATGATCGTCAGCTTGTTGTTCTCCTTGCTGACTTGCTTTGCTTGCTTGAATCTGCTTCCACGTGCATGAAGTGCACACTGAAGAGGAAATTTATGTGTGCCATTAACGAAAAAGCAAGCAGAGGTGTTGGTGTCAGGCTTCCTGCGCCTCGGATGCTGCGTTGTCCGAGTTGTTTGTGGTGTACAGGAGGTAGTCTGAGCCCGTGCGGTGCCGAGAATCGGGTGTCGCTCTTGTTGGCAGCAACGGGGATGCCTCTCCACCTTTCCGACCCGTTGCTTGCTTCTGAAGCGCGTACATCATGTGTGTGTGTGTGTGTGTGTGTGTGTGTGTGTGTGTGTGTGTGTGTGTGTGTGTGTGTGTGTGTGTGTGTATGGATGGGTGGGTGTGTGTGTGGGTGTGTGTGTGTGTGTGTGTGTGTGTGTGTGTGTGTGTGTGTGTGTGTGTGTGTGTGTGTGTACATTGTGTGTGCATTGTGTGTGTGTGTGTGTGTGTGTGTGTGTGTGTGTGTGTGTGTGTGTGTGTGTGTGTGTGGGTGTACATTGTGTGTGTCGACGTTGGGTGTGTACATTGTGTGTGAACATTGTGTGTGAACATTGTGTGTGTGTGTGTGTGTGTACATTGTGTGTGTAAATTGTGTGTGTGTTGTTCATGATGAAATGAGGAGATGTTGAGACCAAACAAGCAAGCATGCCTGCCTGCCCACACCCAAAACAAAACAAAACGCAGCACGCGTGCAACCAGACACGCACACACGCTTGCAAGGCCTTACCTTCGGTCTCGCGTGCGCCGTGGTTGTCGGGTGCACTTTGGCGGCTCGCGCTGGCCCGTGCCGAGGCTTCATGGCCACTTCCTCCTTCAGCTCAGGCTGCAGCACAACAGGCAACAGAGAGACACAACCATGCACAGAAGCGCACGTGAGGAGGAAGAGGCGAAGCGGAGACAAAAGGAGGAGAAGGAGAAGAACGAGGAGGGAGGCAGAGGGAGGCACAACAAGCGGATAGACAAGAGAAAGCGCTCAAAAGAAGCGGTACACAAAACGCAGCGAACACGCACGTCTCACGTGCGTAACATGTGAGCGCACCAAGCCACCAAGCAAGACACCTCGTACCTGCTTGTATGTGCGGGCCAAGTCTGAAGGCATTGGAGAGTCCACGCTCACGGCCACTTCCAGCGCAAGGTCATTGCCAACCTGGCCGCGCCCCTGTTGAACACCGCAGTGCGGAAGCAAGTCAAGAGCAACAACAACAAGCGTGCGTGTGTAGATTAGAAGAAGAGGAGGGAGGAAAGAATTGCAACTGAAATACACAAGCACGCAGAGGCGCTTAAGGTGCACACGCACAATAACACGCGCTCAAACACAAGCACGCACAAATACATGCTCAACTACACGCATGCTCAAATACACACATGCACAACACATGCACAAATGCGTGCGCATGCTCAACTTACAGTGTGCATGTAGTACCAGAACACACCAGTGGCCATAACGAGCACCAGCAGCAAGCACGCCTGCACAAGGGAGGCCCACAACCAAACACGCAACGCAACCAGATGTGAGCAAAGGCAAAGAAATCAGAAACAACGTTTGGGTGATATGGTGGCCAGTGCCCTGTCTCTGGACGAAAGAACACACACACACATGTACACATACAAGTATACACACATACATGTACACACACATACATGTACACACACATACATGTACACACACATATGAACAATTACATCAATCAAACAGGCACACACGCACTTGGACGATCATTGTCTTGACGGCGAGCACGGCTGCAACAGCGATTTGGGAGATGATCAAACACATCATCAGCTGGTTGAAGATCAGCGGCCACAGCTGCCCGCCACTGTCATATCGCT